AAAAGTTATAAATGTGGCTAGTCCTCCTCTTTTTTCCTGGTCAACAGACAGCTTTCAGCTTGTTGCTGCCTACCCGCCCCTGTTTTCTTGCTTTTCCCAATTGCTCTTTTTACTCATTTCCATTGTTCCTCTTTTCTTTCTTCTGTTTCTTCTGCTTTTTTTATGTTCCTTTCGTTCTGTTTTTTTAGTTATTGTCACAGCTACAGAGTTTTCCCTGCCCAGCACCTGAAGAGATGCTATCTCGGAATTCAAGCATTGGAAGAGGGGATTTCCTTCCTACGTTGAGCTGAACGCAGAGAGTCGAATTCTGGTAGAAAGATACTTGCTGGTGGGGCCGGCATTCACCATCCTGCGGATGCATAATATGTCATGTTTTATGTGTGATGTTTAAATAAAGTTGTGGCCAAGTCTTTTCCCTCTTATGTTAATTGTCAAGTGTTTTATTTACGGTTCTGCGGCTAAGGGTCTTGGGTGGTGTTTTGGCCAGGCTTGCCTTGTCAGTCGGGTATTAATTTGTTACACTCAACTAGTTTGCCTTCCAAAACCAAATACTAAACACAATTAAATTGCAATAGTAAAGTGCAATTTGGTAATGAGAAGTATGGGTATCTTTGTTGTCTTATAGGAAAAAAAAAGGTAGAACATTTTAAAATGATTTCCACTCACATATGTGAAGAGTGTGTTTATTGATTCGTGTATAGGATCCACCCAATTATTAAAATGCAATTTAGTGTATCCAAGCATGTCCTTTTTAATGACTAATTGAAAGCTGTGCATACATCTGCTTGTCTTTAGTTTTTCATACTTAATTACATGTCCCATAGTTACCAGGGCTCTCTGTAATTTTTGCTTCACATTTTTTTTTTAATTGAGAGAAAAAGAGTTGAAAAATGCAATACATATTGTATTAGTTAACTTGGTATCTGGTACTCAGACATTTGATAAAATCGATCTGGTGGGTCTGTAAACCCCAGGATTACTTTGGATTACTAAACGCTAGAGAAACTGTGAAAATGAGAAATAAAAGTGAGTATTGTTACTAAGACTGGATGGGTTACTAAGCAATCTAAACTGAAGCAACTGTGAAGCTCTGTGAATAAGGTAAAATAAAAACAGTATTGCAGTAAGTGCAGGGCCAGGAATGAATGACTAAATTATATACACAACATAAAATTCTAGCTGTGAAAGGGCGATGTTTAACTCTTGGTGGATTGGAGAATGAACCATAAGAGTTTTAAGCAAGACAGAAAATTCAAACCAGTGAATAAAGTCTACAAAGTGGTTATAAACTCTAATTAGGATTCAGATGTACTCCAATCCTACTCTGCAGACATCTAATGATCCAAGTGAGTAAGTGTTGGTCCCAACCTGGCCTGAATTTACCCCATGGTTTAAAAAAAAATCTTCTAAAAAAAATCTTCTAAAGAATTTAATTTTCTATCTTATCTAGCTTCTCCTTTGGTTAGCAAAGCTTACAATTCTGTGAACTAGTGGAGCAACATATGCAAGGATATACAAAGACAAACAAACATAATAATGATATATTATGATTAATTCAAAGTTAAATGTGCTGATTTTGCATTATAGAATGAACACACAAACAGGGTTATTTAGTGTGAGTTTTTATTAATTCAAATTGAATTCAAATGTGAAGTTCAAGTTTTAGACTCAAATAGCCTAAAATCTAGTAAAACCAAACTTAATTTGGAAAACTTTTCCAATACAGATATTTTATCCTTAAATTTAAAAATTCACTTTGAATTACTTGAATATACATCAAAGTATAATATACATTATGTTTCTTTACACTATTAATATAGATTTGGAATGTGATGTCGGAGCCTATTCTTGTTGCGGTGCATCAGTTTTGTTCCACAGAAAAATGGCATTTAATTTTTTTATTCAAGATTTTAAAAAATCTGTTTCTTCTTCTAAAAGAAAATGCATTTAATGTTTCATCCCTGGACCTATGGCCATTGCTTTTTCCTTTGTAAAATGCTAAGAGCTTGTCATTTTCCTGTACAGTTATTCTTGATAAGATGCCATTTGTTTACAATAATAACTTGCTCTAAATTGGACATGGCTCTATTTTAATTACATCGAACATGAACAGCCTTTGTGTGAGGGCAAGCTTAATAATGGATAAATAAAAAGAACCACTGAAGTGGATCTTAGCTGCAAGGGATATCTAAACCAACATATGCTTGTAATGCATCTTCAAATGTCACTGATTTTTATTATGTTTTATAACAATTATGTTATACATTTCAGTGTTGACCTACATAGCCATGTTCAAAATATATGCATAGCTGTTTATATGGAAATAGTGGCCAATATGCTGGTGAACTATAATTCTAATGTGTGTCTGGCCATCTATTGCATTCAAATTATTTTGAGACTTGTAGGCCCTCAACATGCTGGGGTCCAGAGGTTTGGATCCCTGCACTGAACAGGAAAAAGTGATTAATGCTATTCCCTCACTGTGACCTTTGAAACAATTGGTAAACAGAGGAACTTTTTTTGCCTGGGTTTCTCAAAAGGCACATATAAAGCCCTTTTACAAAAAAAAAACAAGCACTTCAGATCCAAAAAGGAAAGGTTTATTCCACAAGATACATATACAAACAGAGGAAAACAAAAGTCAAAGAAAATCTTCCTCACACGTTTCGGACCATCTGGTCCTTAATATTAACTCCTATGTTTAAGGACCGGGTGGTCCGAAATGCGTAAGGAAAATTTTCTTTGACTTTTGTTTTCCCCTGTTTGTATATGTACCTTGTGGAATAAACCTTTTCTTTTTTGGACCTGGGGCACTTGTTTTTGGCATATATTTTTCTTTTTTTTCTATTTATCTCTTTATAAGGATTTGGAGTTTCTTGCCTGGCATCCTGAGTCTCAGAGGGGTAAGTGTTTTATTTTTATTTTTTTATTTTTTTCATTTTCGGTTCTATCTTTTGCTTTTCAATATTCCATGCACCTCACAACTTAATGATATGAGCTCCCTGGATGCCAAGTCTTTTTATTCTTTTGTTTAAAGCCCTCTTTTCACCAAAGTTGTAAAGATGTTATGAAATACACACGTGTGTGGTTATATTGCCAGTCACACTCCATCTTCTAGTTAATGTTGGTGTCAATGAGGCATGGATCTTCCTTTTATAAATTAAAAGGCTTAAAGATTGTAGGCACATTTTTGTGTAAAAAATAAAAGAATGCAGAATAACTGACCAAAACACAAAATAATAACCAGGAGTGCTCGATAGATGGAGACGATAGATAGATGGGAATATATAGATTGCAGGGGAGGATGTGTAACGAGACAAATGACCAAAGATGATTATGATGCAAGAAAAAAAAAAAGCAATACTTTGACAACGAGAAAGAAAAGAGGGTAAAAAATAGTGCGGTATATGAAAAGAGCAGCAATAAGATTGGAAAACCTTTGTAAAACAAATATTTATAACGACAACAACAAGCAGAGTATCTGATTATAGTATTTTTTTGTATAGGGCAGTATATAGTGTATAGTATGAAATATGTATCCACTATATGGTGTATTGTTGCAAACTAATTAACAATGTGAAAATGTAGGCAAAGTTTTCAACTACATTATTCACTTTTATCTCGTAAATCATTTGGCCATGTATCATAGTGTTTAGTGAAAATATTTTGCTATTTACATCTGCTTAGATTAGCAGTATTGATAAGTTTCATATTTACCATTAGCATTATGTTTGCTAGGGCATGTGTAAATGTAGAATTCAGATCACACTTTGTGGGAGTTTAGGTATCCAGAGATTCACCATAAATTATTGACAGAAGTAGACAAATGGCAATTAATCTACTGTTTATATTCATAATATTATACATTTCCAAACATCCCTCTGTAAATGTATCCTAAAATAAATATAAAAAGAAGATGGGCTGAAGGAATGGGGTTAACAGAAAGTTAATAAAGTGTAAGATGTCATGGAAATTGGAAACAGAAAATCATCAATACTTTAATTATGACTATGTTTCCTGTGCATGTAGAGCTAAAAATAATGACGGCAAGTTGGCAACAGTATGAGACCATTTTATTAATTGTATAAATGAGTTATTTAAAAATGCATGTTTCCTCAGTTATATTTCTATATTGAATATGTGCACAACATGATTTTTGTAAATGAATTAACAAATACGTTGAAGCCCCCTTTCTAGTAATTGGGGGATTTACAAGTGTTATGGTAACGTGGATAAAAATAAAAATACAACACTTCCTTTGTGATTGCTGTCATTAGAAGCCTTCCTCCTTTGGGATAAAGTGTGCAGCTGCAACTCGCTGTGCGCAGTTAGCAGGTGACGAATGCATCTGGAAAATATGATTCAAAATAAAAACAAACCATTAATATCATTTTAGCAGGTGTAGAAGAGAGTCAAACACCTACATGGACAAACAAATAGAAATAAAACTGTACGCTGTACGAAATGGTAATATAGCGACAAGTATACCATCAACGGTGTAAATTTAAGGTTTTTCGCAGGTATTTTAACATTTTGAATATGACTGGCACCAAAAAGTGTAGCAATTTGAGACACAATCACAGAAACTACAGGACATAAATCTCTGAAAACAAAACAATTCCCAGGAAAATATAAAACCAAGTCACATTATAATTTACACCAATTGAACACCTTTTTTTATTTTTTATTTTTTTATATGACATGCGGTAAAAGACAAACAATAAATAAAAATCTCAACGATACTTTATTAATCAGAACCAAAAACACAGAAAAAAACACACACAAAAACCCTGGCTATGATTGCCTGACTTAAAAAAGTCAACTGCGGCAGTTCAAGCAAAAAACAATGAAAAGTGAGGAAATAAAGAATATCACAAAAACATTAAAACTAAGACTAAGCAAATAAATTTGCCATAACGAGATGGGTCAGAGTTTGAGGGGAAATACTAAGAAAAACCCCATAAAATCATCTGGTATAGCTAAATCAAGAGGAATGGGGTGAAGGAATGGGGTTAACAGAAAGTTAATAAACTCTCTTCTTCCTCTTGGTCATAATAGGATTCAAATACCAATCATTGTAATGTGTTAAAGGAAGCTAAACTGGATAATTGTTTCATTTTTCCTTGATTTTCTTTCTAACTATTTCATAACTTCTTTACTAAGTGAGGAGAATACCAGCCCCACTCAATTTCCAGCACTTTAATCACTGTCTCAGATTATAAAATAGAACTTGATTGAGTCTTCTTCAGAACTCCGCAACCTTCTAGAGTCTAGAGTAACCTTCTTATTTATAAAATATTTTACCCGGAAAGATACATTGAGATTTCTCTCGTTTTCAATTATTTCCTGTGTTGTCTTGAACATAAAGCTTCTCCTTCATTATATATGCAATCAAACCATAACAGTAAAAATGCTAATATTATTGCATACAGTGGCATAGCTACCCTACCAGCCTAGCATTATTACAGCAGCAGTAGAATTATGTCATATGCATATTAAGAGATGGTTCACATTGCATGATAAAGCAGAACATTCCAATGAATGGGGGTAGAAAGCGTCGGGGGCAGTGCAAAGGTTCAGGAGTTAAAAATGCATTCGGTTTTTCCAAATTGTGTTAATGAAGCTTGAATGAAGCAAATTGATTTAATAATGAAATTTGGTTTGTCATTTTGGACAAATTATCAGTCTCCCTCGAAAAAGACTCATGTTTCTTATAATAATTTAATAAGCTCTCCAAAGGATTCAAGACAGTTAGAAAAACTGTCCAAATGATTTATCTACAAAAGTCCTGTGGCGAACCGTTCGTGGCGAACCGTTTGCAAACCGTTCGGTGAACCGTTCGGGACATCACTACTGGTATTTATAAAGCGCCAACAGATTCGGCAGCGCTGTACAATTAGTGGAGAATGTACAATACACACGGACAAATACAAGAGGTAGAGAGAGCCCTGCCTGTAAGATGATATCTAGCCATTGGAGTTCTTTTATACAAAGTGCTTAGCTAGATGGCTTGTGAACTTACAATCTAAAGGATACAGTAGGGATTTGAGAGGTAGCAGGGGACATTTGGAGGTGATGGCTTAAAGAGCTAACAGAGAGAAGCAGCTATTAGTAAAATATAAAGGGAATGAAGAGTGTGATAAAGTGAAGGCAGATAGGCCTTTTAACCCCAGGGGGAGTATGTGTAGGATGTGTTGTAGGCAACACAAAACGATGTTTAGTTATGGGCCCCTGGGGTGGAGCATTTGGAGAGAAGGGTGGGCCAATGCTCCACTCCACAGTTTAGTGGTTTTCTGGGGAGACATAGATCCAGGCCAGGGTTTTTTGGATCATCTCCAACCCACTGCTCAGCTGCAGTTAATGAGCTATTGCAGTGGAAATAAACTCCTCCCTGCTAGACAGGTAAAGGAGAGGGATTGCTGGCTTCCTCCCAGGAAGCAGGTAGGAGAGAGAGGCTTTTCTCTCCAGATAGTCAAGGAGACTAGGCACTTGGAGTGCAGAAAGGAAAGCAGTCAGGGAAAGGCTGGCTTGGAGCACTGGGAGTGCAGAAAGGAAAGCAGTCAGGGCAAGGCTGGCTTGGAGCACTGGGAGTGCAGAAAGGAACGCAACAGGCTAGCCAGCAGAGTGTTGCTAACTAATAAGGTTGGTGCCATATGTTTTGTTAGTTTAACCCTGATAGAGAGGGACGTTCAAAGTGAGTTAGTGCTCAGACCGAGCTAGGTTTTTGTTTATAGGGTTTTGTGTTACATTTTTCATTTACTGCTGTATCCTGTGTGAACTTACAAATAAAGTGCCTGGAGTATTTGCAATTAAAAGGACTGTGCATGTTTTTGCCCTAGAGGACCGTGCTACCTGCAAACAAGGATCACAAGAGGTAATTGAGTTAGAATCTCAAACAACTGGTGGAACATGCTATATATTTAGGGGGAACCTTGGTGGACAGGAGGAGGGGAGGGTGGGAGGTGGTGAGAAACAAAATGCAGAGCATCACAGAGTTTGAGTGTGAGATGAGGCCTGCAGAACAGAGATGGAGATTGAACAGTTATATGAAAACATTTACAGCTAGGAGGAGCATAGTAAAGAGGAAGGGGGGGGGGGCGGTAAAGTAGCCATGTGTTATATATAATATTGAAAAGTTTAGCAGCCAAATTCTATCACCCAAAATATTTATAACTGTGTACATGAAATATTGGTCAGACACATTAAATTACAATGTACATGCACAGAAGATTACAGTGGCAAACCGCAGGTATAAATGATAAGAATTCTATAGTAACACATGATAATACAGTAGCAATCCAAGAATAATTGAGGTGGAGTATCTTCCAAGATTCAGTCAGTACCTGAGAGTGGTAGGGTTTTCTGCAGGATGTTATTATAAGCCCCATACTCAGCCTACATGGGAGCTTGTTAACTTCATTGACCCCTATTGACACCTCCATAATTGACTCGCACCTTAGTATTCTAAGTGTTCTGCTGGGTCACATGGATGAACACGTAGAAAATGAATTGGGTGCCATCTTGTCACACAAAAGCAGTCAGTGGTGTTCGGTCGTCGAGTGCATGGGACGTAAATCAGACACACTAACTAGTGAACACAGCTGAACTTCCATCCTCGCCTGCTTTCGTTTCTTCAAACCTCAGAAGAGTGCTGTTTGGTAGGATTGTTTGCATGAACTAGGCGAGCAATCGCTACCTAGGAGCCAGACAATATGTGCAGTGCTTTGTTTAGTTTTGGACTCCTGAAAGAGACCGACTGCCACCACCTTTCTCCTGGAACTATTTTGGCCAGGCGCAACGTGTGCGGTAGGTCAAAACTTTACCCCGGTTTTGGGGTGTTTTGTATTTTGAACATTGTACCTCTGTGCCTGAGAGATAATTCGTTTATGCAAAATACACACAATTATCTCTCAGACTCAGGGACGCCGGGGAGGAGTTTGTATATAACTGTATGGAGACCCACTACTCTTAACCCTGCAAGTGTAATTATTGCAGTTTTTTATAAACTGCAATAATTACCTTGCAGGGTTAGCTCCACCCCTAGTGGGGACCTCCAGCGTAGCTCATTTCCCCATAGGAAAGCATTGAAAAGCATTGTGCATTAGGTCTCCCCGGCCGGTGGGCGGGATCAGTCTCACCCAATGGCCGACGCAATCACTGGGAGGGGCGGCGGCGGAGGAAGAAGCAGCGACGTGGGACATGTCGCTGCCTCTGGTAAGTGACTGAAGGGGTTTTCACCCCTTCAGCAACCGGGGATTTTGGGGGTTGGAGAGGGGACCTGCAGTGCCAGGAAAATGGATTGTTTTCCTGGCACTGGAGTTTCCCTTTAAATGTTATCTTCTATAAATAAACATTTGAAAAGTTTTCTAACAGTAGTGAATCACTTGGGAAGCTTGAGGCCAGCCTATTTTAACAATCTGGAGCAGTACCAATGCAGTCCAATCCTACAATGGCAAAGACTGATGTGGATTAGCCCCTGAGGCTCAGAAAATCCATACGACTGCAAGACTTGGTTCTGTGAACTAGAATTTCATTTACACAAATCAACTTGGAAATATTTATTATTATTAGTTTATTATTACTATTATTATTAATAATAATAATAATATATCATTATATATTATTATTATTCAGAAGCATCACAATGACAGGAAAATATAAATAGAATGTCAATAGCCAATCTGAAGTGGGGAATATCACAGTTATTATTACTATTATTATTATTTTAATTTTTATATAGCGCCAACAATTTCCGTTGCGTTGTGCAATTGAGTTGAATATCTCACTGCGTTTCACTGTACAGTATAGAAATAATTAATGTTTAAATGCATTGTAACATTTTTGTATCTAGACAAACTTTAGGGTATAGCTTGAAATTTTATTCAACTGTATTTAATAACAGATCTGATCGATTGTTTTAAAAATGAACAGTAATTTGTAGGTGTTATATGTCATGTGCTATATGATGTTGCAAAAGAACATTTCTGTTGACAAAGTGATTTTAAGTATTCTGCTAAAGCAGAATTAGTATCAGCACTGTGTAGGTGTTGATTCCATGTGTTTACTGGTAATTGGAAAATTATATTTGTCTCTCACAGCTACTCTGCAGAGGCTACAGAATCCAAGGACAATCTCATAGTAATCACCGTGCCTTAGGTTAATCCTTTTATTGCCAGAAAAATGAACAAAACTAATCCCTCTTTGTCTAGGAAATGAATAGGATATAGATATACACAATAATTCTTTATGTAATCAAAAACAAAATATTATAGTAGGTAGTGAACATATACATTTTGGAAAAATAAGGACCAACAGATTAACATTAGCTGAGTAATTTAAAAATGGTTTCTTCTACTTTTGCAAAAACAGAATAAGGGTTGGGGATTCCCCCCCTTGCAGCTGTCACTAGTCTAATACTATCCTTACCTTTTTGTGTCACTTTACCCCACTCCCTCTAGCATGTAAGCTCATTGAGCAGGGCCCTCAACCCCTCTGTTCCTGTGTGTCCAACTTGTCTGGTTACAACTACATGTCTGTTCGTCCACCCACTGTAAAGCACTGCTGAATATGTTGGCGCTATATAAATAATAACATAATAAAAATAATTGCTAATGACAGTGGAATACAGGAAGGCGGTTTTGCTACCGTTAAGAAGACTTATGGAGGCAGTTTTATTGCAGTATGTTATGGAATATGAGTTATCATAGAAAAGTAATTGTTTCAAATTAAAGCAAGGTGACTCTGTTGTCTTGATGTCAGTATTAGCACAACAACGAACCCCAGTTAGGTTTTACATTTTTGACAGTTTGCTTCAGTTTACATTGACATATTACTCCAATTAATTAACACAAACTTAACACAATAGTTTAAGTAGGCACATCCTATTAAACCATTTAAAGACGATCAGTCACAAAACTGAATTTAGTGTTCACAACAGGCATATCTAAACAAGAACAAAATACAAGCAAAATGTTTGCCTCATTATTATTTAAATACGATTTATATGATACTTGGCGTAACTTATACACGACGGGTAAAGATTATACTTATTTTTCACATGTTCATCACACATATTCGCACATAGATATGTGTTTGGTTGATAAACAAACATTACAAAACATTTCTGAGGTAGAGATAAGGCGTAAAATTTGTTCAGATCATGCCCCCGTAATTGCCACGTTTAGGACTTTATATTTTGTAAGAGGCAGGAGTACATGGCGCTTAAATGAGGCTCTTCTGGGTGAAGAATCTTTGTTAAATTTGTTCAGGAAAAGGATTCAAGCATTTTAAGACGAACATTTTCCGGACAAATCTCACATCACCGCTAAGTGGCTGGCTTTTAAGGCAGTAATGAGAGGACTGTTTGTACAGGTGGGTTCAAGAAAAAAGAAGCAAGAGTATGGAGATAAAAAACGACTTTTAGAAGAGCTGAAGGTGTTGGAGGAGGAAAATAAACGGAACCCATCAAAAATAATATCTTTACAACTTAGTAAGATTGAAACTAAACTTCAGGAATTGAACTTGAAACTTTTGGAAAGACAAGTGAGAAAACTAAAATTGACTCAGTATACGCAGAGCAATAAAGTTGGGAAAAAGCTAGCTAGGATATTAAAAAATAGAGACCAACAATCAAAAATACCATATCTGTTAGTGGCAAATGAAGCAAAATTGTTTAATCCTCAAGATATTGTGGAAGAACTTTCCTCTTACTATAAAAAGTTATATAATTTAAAAAATGAGCAAGATACATATCAGCCTACAAAAGAAGAAATGATGTGTTTTTTTTTAGCAGATATAGATTTGCCTTCCCTATCAGAATCACAATGCCAGTCATTATTAAAACCTTTTGAGGAAGAGAAGGTATTGAAAGTAATTAATACTCTTCAGAAAAAAAAGGCCCCGGGCCCGGATGGGTTTTCAAATCTTTTTTATATAATTTTTGCAAATTTATTTATATCTCATCTTACGGGTGTATTTAATTTTTTGTAAAAATTCAGGGACTATGCCGGCTGAAATGCAATTAGCTCATGTAATTACTTTGACCAAACCAGGGAAGTCACCTACTGAACGTGTAAATTTAAGACCAATTTCACTTTTAAATGTTGACACAAAAAGTTATGGAAAAATTATTAGCATTAAGAATAAAACCATTTTTGATTAAGTTGGTATCTCACAAACAAGCAGGTTTCGTTCCTTCAAGACAATTAGGGGATAATACCCGTCATTGTCTGAATATATTGAACTGGGCCGATATTAATAAGTAACAATTACTAATTCTAGCTTTAGATGCCGAGAAGGCCTTTGATCGCCTAAATTGGCAATATATGAAATAAGTTTTAGTAAAGATGGCCTTCCCCTCAGCTTTTTTAGAGAGCATTTTTGCTCTTTATACTCATCCATCAGCGAGAATACATAATGCAGGGTTTTTATCAATGCCGTTTCAGATCACAAATGGTACGAGGCAGGGATGTCCTCTCTCCCCCTTGTTATTTATATTAAGTTTAGAACCATTAATAAGACATATTAAAAAACAAAATAATATTCGGGGTATAAGCACACCTGCAGGAGAATTGAAATTAGAGCTGTTTGCGGATGATGTTTTATTATTTTTAACAGATCCGTTTATATCACCTTCAAATCTTATGAAATTATTGAAAAGTTATTGACAAGTGTCTTATTATAAGAGTAATCTAAAAAAATCTAAAGCTATGCCAATACATCTCCCAAAAAAGAACTGCAAGAATTATATCCATTTGACTGGCGCTCTTCATCAATAAATTACTTAGGTGTTAAATTATCAAGCAATCCAGCCCAGTTAATAAAAGATAATCATATTCCATTGATATATAAACTGAATAAACAACTTAGAGTATGGGAGGGAAGAGAGATATCCTGGCTTGGTCATATTAACATGATAAAAATGATGATACTGCCCCTTATTTTATATTTATTTAGAACTTTACCAATTGTGTTAACAAATGCTCTTCTAAAAAGGTTCCAAACTACTATTAATGCACATATTTGGAAAAGGAAACCACTGCGTATTGCACAGAATTGGCTTTGGAAACCATGAAAGGAGGTTTAAATATACTGAATATTTCCTTTTACTATAAAGCAGTTTTTCTTGCACAGGATATGTCTGTTCTTGAGCAGGGTGCAGCCCCAATTTGGTTGGGGTTAGAGAATGCTTGTATTCAGGATGGTGTAGTGGAACAGTTTCTCTGGCTTGGTCCAATGAAACAAGAAAAACTATGCAATATGTTGCCTTCCATGAAAGCATTAACAAAAAATTGGGGACAAGCTATTTCAAAACTAAAAATATCTAAGGCCTTGGCATTGGAAGCTCCTTTCAAAATGATGACATCCTTTAGCCCTGATTTATTCTTAGATACTTGGATGGAGCGAGGGGTAAGACAGATAGGTGATTTATATAATGTAAGTGGAATAAAATCATTTCCGGAGCTCTAGAAGCAATATGTTCTGCCTTCAGATGAATTATTCACATACTTACGCATAAAACATATTTTGAATAAAAGAAGATGCACATTAAAAGATATGATAAACAGCTCCCCTTTCCTATGTAAATGTGCAGGGAAAATTCCAAACAAAAAAGCTCTTTCATTTTGCTATAACATTTTAGTATCTATGGATGTGGATACTATAAGTTACATGCAAAAATGGGAAAGGGACTTAGATAATCAAGTACCGCAGGAAAGTTGGTACAAGGCTTTAAAAATCACAAAACAAGCTTCCAGAAGCTTATCACATTGGGAGGCATTTAGCAAATTAAATATGAGATGGTATATGGTACCCTCCAGATTAGCTCAATTATACCCAGGAACATCTACAGCTTGTTGGAGATGCCATGAGAATTTAAGCAACTTGCTGAATATTTTTTGGGAGTGCCCACTGATTATACCACTTTGGCAGGAAGTGGAATCTTTTTTTTTAATGGGGTTAAGTGTAGATATTAAGTGGCAACCAGAAAGCTATCTTTTTCACATGTTCCAGCTAACACCTCAGGAGGAAGTATTAACAATAATGATACACTGTTTATTAGCAACTAAATTAGTTATGGCTTATAGGTGGAAACAAACTCAGCCACCTTTGCTCAAAGAGGTTATGAGAGAATGGCAAGTCGTTTGGCAGGAGTGGAAGGAAAATATATAAAAATTTGGCAAAAATGGTTTAGTGTCAGGAATTTGTATTTATAGGAGGTAGGCCATGGTTAAGAAGTTGTTACATAAATTAATTTAATTTAAATAAAGTAATTTAATAGTTAGAGGCGAAAGCCAGAGGTTTATAAAGGGGATTTATGTTCTCAAATAAGCCTGGTATAATGGTTTAAGTAATTTATAAAGGTACACATAAGATTACTAGGTAATGTAAAATATGATAGCATTTATGTGTGAGAATCGATTAAGGTATGGCTATACTAGAGATCAGGTTTATACACCTCTAGATAAAGATTGTTATTGTTGAGATTTGTTTTTAGGTTTTGTTATCTGCGTTTTTTTTATGTGATTGTCTAATTATCTATATATTGAAATATATAATAAAAACTTGTATATTAAAAAAAAAATACAGAAAAAGGAACACCGCGTGCACAAAATGTTTTTTTTTAAATCATTTAAACCATAGGTTAGGAGCCAAATATATTTGAGTGCTGTTGAGTACTCAGCAAAATATGGATAAGTTGAGACAGATTTTTGCTAAACCAAATGTCTTTGAGTAATTGATCCTCAGCAAGTGGGACCACCTCTACAAAAGACAAAGTTTCAGCAGTTTGCTGGTCTGGAGCATTTAGGTTTGTTAACACAATGCCAAGGAGGAAAGACATCAACAATGATCTTAGAGAAGTGATTGTTGTTGCCCATCAAAATGGGAAGGGCTATAAGGCCATTTCCAAACAAACAAAAGTCCATCATTCTTCAGTGAGAAAGATTATTCAAAAGAGGAAGTTGTCAATCTTTCCAGACGTGGACAACCCTGCAAATTCACCCCAAGGTCAGACCGTGCAATGCTCAGAGAAAGTACAAAAAAAACCAAGAGTTACACCTCAGACTCCACAGGCCTCAGTTACCATGTGAAATGTTAAATTTCATGACAGTATAATTAGAAAATGACTGAATAAGTATGGGTTGTTTGGAAGGGTTGCCAGGAGTATGCCTCTTCTCTCTAAAAAGAATATGGGAGCACGGCTTAAATTTGCCACGTTGCCTCTGGACAAACTGCAAGACTTCTGGAACAGTGTCCTTTGGACTGACAAGACCAACAGTGTCCTTTGGACAGACAAGACCATATAAAGTATAAAAATAATAATCTTTGGGCTGTTAAATGACAGTAAAAATAACAACTGTGATATAGATTAAATATTTAAGGTTTTGGCCTGACATGTTTCCTTTAAGACTTTGACCAGGTCTAATATATAATATAAAACATCTACATTGTTACCAAGATTGTCTTTAATTAAATGCCAATGCCAATTTAAAGTTACAAGGGACTCACTTATCAGGATCCTTCCTGTCTCTTTCCTTACAAAACAACATCTAATTCACTAGATGAGCCTGGCTCCGAAATAGAACATACTTAGTTAGAAAGCTTCACTCATTTACCCTTTCAGTGGATAAGTTAATAACATAAGCAGGGGAAAATGTATAAATAAGTCAACCATTGGTTATGCTAAGTATGACTGATCCATTTAAAATAATTTTCAGGTGTGGGAGTATTAAGAATGACAGGTTGATCATTTTTAAATGTGATAGTTTATAAAACACATATCTGAAACTGGTTAAAAAATACATCAAAAATATATCTCATAATTCACCTTTTATTCATATATAAGTGCTCCAAGAACAAAGGTGTAAATAACAGTGATCCAAACAGTGGCGGATCCAGAGCCTGATCTCGGGAGGGGCACTTTTAGATTATTTAAAGAAATAATCCAGACACAATAACTACTACAGCTCAGTGTAGTGGTTATGGTGTCAATAGTGCCGGGACCCCCTCCTAGAGTAAGTAGTCAAACCGTTTAAGAACAGTTTGACAACTTACCTGAGGTCTGCTGGGAAATGGGGCGGTAGTAGGGCATAGGAGCAGTGGTGTGTGTGAGTGGTGCAATGTGTAAGGGGTGCAGTGTGTGTGTGTGTGAGGGGGACAGTGTGTGAGCAGTGTGTGTGTGTGTGAAGGTTGTAGTGTGTGAGTAGGGGGGCAGTGTATGTCAGGGATGCAGTGTATGTGTGGGACAGTATGTGTGTGTAACAGTTGCAGTGTGTGTGTGAATGTGGGCAATGTGTGTGTATGGGGCAGTGTGGGGGCGGCATGGGGGGCAGTATGTGTGTATGGGGTGGCAGTATGTGTGCATGGGGGGCAGTATGTGTGTATGGGGGGCAGTATGTGTGTATGGGGGCAGTATGTGTGTAGTATGTGTGTATGGGGGGCAGCATGGGGGCAGTATGTGTGTATGGGGGGGCAGTATGTGTGTGTATGGGGGGCAACATGGGGGGCAGTATGTGTGTATGGGGGCAGTATGTGTATTGGGGCCGTATGTGTGTATGGGGGGGCAGCATGGGGGGCTGTATGTGTGTATGGGGGGGCAGTATGTGTGTATGGTGGGGCAGTATGTGTGTATGGGGGGCAGTATGTGTGTATGGGGGGCAGTATGGGGGCTATGTGTATGTGTTAAGGGTAGGGGGGGGCTTTTTTATAATATATATCTTTATTTAATAAAAAAAAACAAATATTCATCCCTGGTGGTCCCAGTGGTGATTCCCTGGTGGTCCCAGTGGTTACAGTGAACTCTAGCCCGCGCTCCCGGGCTAGAGTTCACTCTCGCGAGATTTGGAGCGTTGCCGCACTCCAAATCTCGCGAGAAGTGGACCCGGAGGAGCTACAGACTGAGCTCCCGGGTCCTCCCTCTCCCTCCCCTGTCGGCTGTCAGCACAGTGCCTGCGGACCGGGGAGGGAGATCTCTGATCTCCCCTCCGGTCCGCAGGCACATTGCAGGGCTAGCGCCTGCATGTGCTGACAGGGGAGGGAGAGGGAGACCGTCGGATTTCTCGGGGGGGGGGGGCAATTGCTCCATTGCCCCCCCCCTGGATCCGCCAGTGGATCCAAACCCAGGTGCTTTTTTTCCTTTTCCAAATGACTATGAAACCAAATTATGCACTCACTTCACATTCTATTTCCATGCACTATTTGCTATGCATTCACTAATGAAACATATACATCATTCTTGTCACAAAAGTAAGATACATTTAAAATATGTCCACCATGCAAAGGTGTAAGAGTCTCTGTTTGGTCAGACAACCGCATCCACTAATTTCAGGTTTCTCGTTCTAGCAATATCTGCTTCTTTGTATCCCATATGTTATTGAGCCATTAATTCCAGATTTCAAAGATCAAGTCTTGGGAAGACATCCAGACATGGTGTCCTGCATATGGAATAAGACAAATCAATCAGGTGAAAAGTGAAAGATTTGTGTCTGTTCTGTCTTGCTTTATTATGTGTCATTTCATGTTATCACAATAAAAGTAAAAATTTTAAGACTACCAGTGAGTTAAAGGGACACCTAAGTCACCAAAACAACTTTAGCTTAATGAAGCAGTTTCACTGCTCAAATCTCTGCCAGTTAGGAGTTAAATCACTTTTGTTTCTGTTTATGCAGCCTTAGCCACACCAACCCTGGCTGTGACTGATACAGCCTGCATTCAAACAGATTGGTTTCATTTTCAATCACATGAAACTTACTTTATACATGTTTATGTCCTGCTCTGTGATTTGAACTTTAATGACATACAGGACACACAGGAGGCTCCTGAGTAGAAGATAAGACATTCTAAATTAAACAGAATTTGCAATGAAGGAAGTGTAAATATTAGATGACTGTTTACAGGAAGTGTTTAGGAAGGCTGTGTAAGTCACATGCAGGAAGGTGTGACTATAGCTGCATAAACAAAGTGATTTAACTACTAAATGGCAGATAGTTGAACAGTGAGACTACAGGGGCATAATCTATAAACCAAAACTGTATCATTTAGTTAAAGTTGTTTTGGTGACTATAGTGTCCCTTTAATATTTCTGGGTTCTGGGTTTGCAGTACACAGCAATTCTCTTTATTTTACATTATCAGACTTTCGACCCATGTCCTTCAAATTCCTAGTTTTGAATTTCCAGTCCTATACTTAGGTTTAGTGAACTCAGCCTGTGTATAGTTTCTAGTTAAACGAATGCTAGGTTTCATTCCTGTGCCCTGCATTTTTAAGTTGTATGAATTCAGACTGAGCACAGCTTCTAGTTCCACTAATAACAAATGTCAGGGGTCCAGTAGTGACAAAGCCGCAGCCACATTTAAGGTTTGGAGAATTTAGTGAACGAGCAGTGATATAAAGAATTACAGACTCTCAGAAAAAGTATTTAAATACTTTATCAGTGTAAGTAATGGAAGATTGGCCATTTATGTTGCACTGTAGACTCCTTTTAAAATGCAGCTGACAAAAGAGTTAATTGATTTTTAGAGACACCGCTTGCACTATATATATTTCTCCAAAGGAAAAGATAACATGTATAGTAACGTTAAAGCATTAACCCGTTCAGGACCAGAGACTTAATGGATTTCATTAAGTAGTTAGTAGTATTGAGTATTAAGCATAGTAAACTATAGCTCTTTTATAGGACTCTGTGTCCTATCATATTTTAAATTTTTTTTATTTCCCTACAGTGAACAGTGGAAACTAATTATGAAAAAGGTTGACAAACACATTAAATAACGTTCTATTGAAGAAAAGGCAATTCTTTAAATAGTCACTGTGTTGGCAGTTGTGGCAGTGAAAGAAATGTTTGTGAGTACCTGTATATCTCATTTAGAATGCAGTATCGAGAAAGTGAAGAGTTGCAGTTTGTAACCGAATGAATCTTCAATTCTAAATGTAAGTGGGCAGGCTCATATTCTTGTTGTAGCACAAAGGAAGGTGGCTAGCCCTCAAAGCATAATGCCTGATCTGCCTGTTCACCAATACCAATAAGGTGGCCCTAAGTGCATGGACCTCCTGATGGGGTCCCCTCAACAGCATGTGGGCCCTGGTAAAGGTGCTGGAT